CCTAGCAACTATGAAACTAAGACTCCATAACCCTCAACAATTCACACTAAAATAAGCCTTTTGCCCCATCTGTTTGGCTTAAGAAGGTTAATGTGCCTATCAAGACATCCATAAAATACAGATTATCAATACAGTGAAATTAATTTATACAGGAAGTCAGTTATTTGGAATAGAATTGTGTATAGAATCTGCCTAAAATTACCACAAAGCATTTATTGAATCTGGGCAGCAGTAGGTTTTGAGATGTGCTTCAGACCAAATGTTCATGATCTGTACTCTGTCCTTGACGCACCTGTTGCAAGGTGTGCAACTTAGCCTTTTCAGGTTTTTTTGGTCCTCACTTGAAAACAACACGTTTATATCCTGTTAGCAAAAGTATTAGTAAGTGGCTTGTAAGTATTGAGGCATTTCTCGTAATGGTTATTTTTTTAAGTCTGTAAGTCAACCACACAGCTACATATTGTATTTTACAAATACTTTCCCACTAACGTAATTATCAGAGCTATTTGTGATATAACACCAGATGCTTCATGTGCCAAAGGTTAGACTACATGACTAGGGACCTGTTCAATTCACAAATTTGCAGAAATCGCAAAATCGGGCATTGTCTGTGAAATAAAAAAAAAAAAATTACTAAAATAAAATGCTGGCTCCCCAGTGGCCCAGCTACGCAGCCCACTGCAGGGCCCTCTGCCAGTGAAGGGGAGGAGCCAAGTTGGTGGCCACCTCTGCCCCTTGCCATTGATTGGCTGAGAGATCTGCCTGTCATGTGGCTCTAGCCATCCCAGCCAATCAGCGGTGAGGGGTGGTGGCTGCGTGGCAGACAGCCCTTTTGGCCAATTAGCAGTGAGGGACAGGGCCACCAGGGCCCCTCTGCCAATCAGAGGCATGGGGGGGGTCCCCACTACAATAAGCCTGTGAAACTGCCAGCCAGCCCTGTGATCTGCCCACAAATTTGGCCTCCTCGATTGGGTAGGTCCCTATACATGACCCATGGGGTCACTTCAAAGCCTATAATTTTAGGCTGAACAACAAAGCACTGTTGAGCGATTTCAGCATTAAAAGCTTCTCTTCAATGTTTAAGGTCTTGTCCAGCATTGACTCTGTGCTAAGTAGTCCACGAGCTCCTCCTTTAATATATAAGCGAAGTAAAGGGCCAATCCAAAATGGCATCAAAGAGAATGGACAAGAATGTGGCTTTGAGCACCTTTCCCCTACAGTAGAAATGTGGGCAGACCAAATAATGGCGCTAAAGGTAAGGAACCGCTGTACTTTTGCATTCTTCAGCTGGGACCCAGTCATTTTTTGCAATCTGGAGCTTTTGCTTGTGTAGCTTTCACAGCTGTTCGGTTTTGGGTTAGTTCAGAAACAAAAAAATCTTATGCTGTTCTTCCCATCACTTTATTTATGTCCGTTTTATACTACGTTTACCCAAATCCAGGATGACTGAATTTAAGATGACCCTCTCCCAGTAATTAGATTCTCTACATGGAAGATGATAAATTTGTTATAATTTTCATTTATAAAATCTAATTACTTGGGGAGGGTCATCTTAAATTTGTCAGACCTCTACCCCTTGTCCTTCCTACCTGCATCCCCTGCCATATTATTCCCTGACCTTGTACTCCAGCCCCTTGTCCCTCTGAGCCTATTCCTGCTGCCTGTGCCTGACCCCTGCCACCTGTCCCATACCCCACCCCAATGCCCATCTTCCCCCACTTCCTGCACACCCCACTACTTAACTTCTGCTGCAACTCTGCTTTGGTTCTGGGGCAGTGGGTGGCAGCAGCCCCAGCCCAGCCTGGCCAGGGAAAAGCAGCTGTGTCCAGGTTAGCGCTGGAGGGGCTGGAGCCTCTGGGGAACAGGAGAGGTTGCACTGTGTCCTCCATTCCTGAGTCGCATGCCATAAGCCTCCCCATGCACCTCCTCCCCATGCTTCCTTGGCTGCATGCCCTCTCTGCCACCACATGAACTACCTTGCCCCAGTGCAGGCAGTGGCTTAACTGTGGTTTGCCCCCAGTACTTGAGGATTTTTGATTGGGGGGAAAAAACCCTTATCTTGGATTTCAGTAAATGTTTTAATGTAGTCCTCTGCACAATTGCCTTAATCTTTTTCAGTATCTTTGTTCACTAGTTTTCTTGTGGAAAAACATGTTTTACATTTTATATATCAGTGAAGTTACATTCAAGTACTTCCTTCTTTCTAGACCATTAGCTTTTCGGTTTAAATAAAGGCATCACATTTTAGGCCAATCTCTGAGTAACAAACTGCTGTGATCTGGTGTCAGTCTATTGCTAATCCTTGTATTTGAAATGAAACTTCCATTTTTGAAGCTGAGAATATAAGCAAAATATTTTGTGTAATGGTTCTATCTAAATTAAATCTTAGTCTGCCACACTGGCGTATTTGTCTTGCACAAGAATTCAACAGCTTAATTCTTTCCTTTATGTAACTGCTGTAATTTACTGTTGTACTTTGAAACTTGCAGCTTCTCTAACTTCTGAATTTTCTCTCTATTATAACAGGACTTGTATAGGTCTCTGAGAAAGCTATCACACGAACTTGTGCCCTGGCACACTATAGACATACAGGACAACAGTGAATGCCCTCGCGTTGAAGACCTTCAGTTCATAGTGGATGCAATCTTGGAAGAAATAGAAAATAGAGAAAAGGTAACCTATCAGAAATTCCTCATGTCTTCCAAATTAACTGTTACTCTAAAATTCCTATCTGCATTCTTCACACACTGATTGGGTTTGTGTAGTTGGGAGTCTGCACAAGGCTTCAGAACTGCCTGCTTGACTTTATGCAGGCAAATACTGTTTTAATAAAACAGGCCAGTTTATCTTGGGAGTGACCCAACTTGAAGGAGTTAGTCTGGGGATGGATTTGGCTGACTCCACATATCATCATCTTAACTCTGTTTTGTCTATTTCTAAATTGGCAAAGAAAAGCACTTATGCATACTCCACACTCCATCTAAAGGAAATTGTCCTTGTATCAGAGACAAGGGTTCTGTTTTCTTGTCACGTTTAGCTAAACATTTTAGAGTAAGCCTTTAAATTAGCTAATGCCTACTGTTTGTTTATTAAGGGAAGTGACCTATTTTAAGGAACTGTTGCTTTTTAACCAATGTCTTTCCTTGACGACTTGTTTTTAACCTTTGGTACAGAATAGCCAGATACCTTCTTTACAGACATTGTATGCAATAGTCTCTCACTTCCAAAAGCTTTTTGATGTGAGTTCTCTGAATGGCGTTTATCCACGAATGAATGAAGTTTACACAAAGCTTGGAGAAATGACCAATGCTATGCGAAACCTCCATGATCTCCTAGAGCTAGGTAAAACTTCATTGTATTTCATGTAGTCAAACTCTTCCAGATTCACTTTATGCAGTAACTGGAGACAAGGGGAAAATCTGATTTTTAAGTAGAGAAGATAGTGAAGTATAGTGAGAGGACTAATAAGTTGTTCAGAAATGTCTGCAACTAGAAAGAAACGTCCAAAGGTGCTGTCACCCTGGAGTTTGAAAAGAAGAAACCCATAATCAACGTATGATTGCTCTGGTCTTAAACAAGTTGTTTGACCTGCAGCCCTCTGTCACTGGGAGGAAATGTAAGTCTGTCTTTGGTCAAATAAGGCATGGTAGATATGTAGTAGGGATGCAGATACTTTAAAAATTACCTGTTTAACCTCCTTTAGTTATATTGGTTAAATGGTTAACCAATAGCATGTAGTTTAGTGACCTCCGGCAGGAACAGCCCTGGCTGCTTTTGTCTTTGCTGTGTACCCTAGGCTGCTGCTGGGGAATCGTGGGGAGGGGACAGCAGGTGTGGCCAAGCCATTAAGGGGTGCTGCCCATCAGCAGAGCTGTGCCTCCCCCTGCCCCCAGGCCTGAGGTTGCAGACCTCTCCTGTACCTGGACCCTGCTGCTGAAGGGAGTGGGGGAAAGGAGGTGCTGTGCCCCCTCCTTCCTGCCGCAACAGTGAGACTCCTGGCCCCATGATGGGTCTGCCTGCTCCCCCCGACAGCAGGGGTAGTATAGACAAGCCCAGTCTGAAAGGGAAATCTGCAAGTGAAGCTCACTGCAACTCCCATGACTGCTCTCTCTTAAACCCATCCCTACTCTTACTGTTACAGACATAGTATCTCTACTCAGCAGCTATGGTGAACATGCTTAGTTTTCCAAATTTACACTTTTACCCTTTTTTTTAAATATTGAATGTTAAAAATGGAATCAATATTTATATATATTAGCAAAATTTACCTCGTAGATGGGGAAAGAGCAATGCCAGATGGATCTCTAGAGTAACCAGCGGTTTGTGAGTTGGACAGGACTTGGCCTAAGGTGGTATGGTGCTACTGGAACTGAATTCTGTGGAGTCCTTCTGGCAGCTCTTAAGTATAGAATCTGTCCTCCTTTGGTGATGTTAACACTTTGTCACAGCTGTAAATGTTGACCCATTAAGGGAAGCATAAGATTCCTTACCCTAACCAGTGCCTTACTGTCACTCTTCCCTGAGAAGCACAAGGTGTTCAGTAGCTGATTAAATCCTGTTAATGCTAAAATCTGTATACAGAAAGTGAAGATTAAATTAAAGACACTAGGTGGACTTGCATTATAAAAAACACATCCCTGCTAATCTTTGTAAACATGCAGTGTTTGTTCCTTACAGATAGCTCAGCCCCACCCACTGTCCTGGTGGACACTGTTGGAAAGCTTTGTAACATAATTAACGAGAATGTGACTGAACAGGTCGAGCAGCTGCTGGGGACCCAAGACGTCCTAAGGTATTTGGACTTAGAGGTGTCACTCTTGAAGTATGAAGCAAAGTAACTCAGAGAACTGGTTAGGACTGCTTCTCATTGTCGGGACTGGATGTCAAATGACTGAACTTAAGTCAATAAGGTACTATCACTGCAAACTAAGACCTGGATGAATGTGCCAGAGAGAGCTTGCACCAGAAAAATGAGAGGCCAGGTTGTAATGGAAAAAAAAAATAATTTAAGCCAACATCAAGACTGAAGGTTTTGAAAACAACTTCTACTTAAGCATGTAGTATCTTTAAACCAATATCAGGTATTCCTGCTTATGTGGGAAATGAAAGACATCGAACTGAAAAAAAAATGCTTTTGCACAATGTCCATATAATCTATGGCAGACAAGGTTCTTTGGGTAAATGTGATATATTTTATTAAATCAACTAAATAGTTGGAAAAATTGTTCTTTGCAAGTTTTTGGGCACAAATACCATTCTTCAGGCATAGGGAGAATGTGCTGCTGTTTTTATTCTCCTGGATGGAATAGAAGCCAATGTACAAAATGCAGGTCTATACATACAGTCCATGGAACTCATTGGCTTAAGATATAGCTGGAGCAAAGGGCTTAAACTAGGTTTCAGAGGTTTGGACCATGAATGACTCATGCTCCTGGCAGCTGGGGGTGGGGTACTGTGGTGGTGGTGAGCGGGGGAGCTCCTGCAGATGCCGCCAGCACTGTTGGCAGCAGAAGTGGGAGTGGAGGCGTGGCGAGTGCCGCGGTTGCGGTCAGCAGGGATAGCGGACTGCCTGCAGATGCTGCTGGGGGTGCTGGCAGTGGGGTGGTGAGTGGTGACTGCCCCCAGGCACCGCCAATATTGTTTGCAGTGTCTTTTTGTAGGGGGTGCCACCACCACACTTGGGGTATGTGTGCACCCCCTATGCATTGCCTCTGGTTTGGATGCTGCAAATAGTATGAATTCAGCATTCTTAAGTCTTAAAAAGTGCAGGAGTCTTGGCAGACCCTTAGGATTCAGGGTCTAGGCAGTCTTTATCAGTAAATGTTAAGCAGTGTTTTCCCTGCAGGCACAGATTCATAGATTGTAGAGTTGGAAGGGACCACAACGTATCATCGTGTCCGACCCCCTGCCCTAGGGAGGAAAGAGGGGACCGAGGTCATATGACCCCAGCCAGGTGTCTGTCAAGCCTCCTCTTGAAGCCCTTCAAGTTAGGTGATATTACCACCTTTCATGTGCATGTGCACACACACACATGCATGTAATCTATTCCATTTACTCTTCTCAGGTGCATGTGTTCTGACTAAGTTGTAATTGAACCCCAGAACATGCAGCAGTTTTGGCCTGGAGGTTTTTAGAACCTAAAAATGTAATTGTTGTTGGGGGACTGCCCTTCACAGTATGAAAAGATAAGTAGTGTCATTTCAGAAACTCAAGACTCAGATGTGGCAAAGGTCAGGAGCCATGTTTGCACAGCTCCTTTGCAGCCTCTGATTGTGACATGGTCTCCCACATGCTGGACTGTAAATTTGCTATAATTTTTTAATTGCAGTATCATCAGCAAACTAGAAGAACATGAATACTTCTTCCCAGCTTTTCAAGCTCTTATTCAAGATTTGCTT